CCCCAAAACCCCAAAACCCCAAAACCCCACCATTACAAATATGTTTGAAGTACGATGATTTTTTAATTAAATATAAGTCAAGTCAATTTATATTGCGAAAATGATCAGTTACTGAGAGAGTGCTGCTCTATTGATCATTTATGGGTTCCATTTGAACTTGAAACTGTAATGGGTGTAGATTAGGATCCAGTCACTTTAGCTTTATCCTTTTCTTGTATAACATCATCCTATGGTTAGTCTCCATTTTGAACTTTATTTCCATTAGTTTCATTAGTTTCTGTATTTTATTGTTCACTTTGTAGAGTAATTTGCTTCTTTTTGTTTCTACTATAAAGTATGAATGCCTGTTCTTCAGCATTACCCTCGAACTTATGATACTATCTATGAAATTCTGGTCTGCCATGGAAATTAACAAGGTCAACGAATGATACCTATCTAAGAAATCTCCATGATACCACTTAATTGTGCTTATTCTTATAAGTCTCCTCTATTGCCTATTCTACATCAAGATCTATCACATAAGGATTGAGCAAATCGTTAAGCATTGGTTAGTCAGCTGCTTTGATGTTAACGGAATTTCCTTACTCATCTAAGGACTCTTTTGGATATCTGAGATACTTTCTAAGATTCAAACCTACTCTTGGATGATTAAATTCTTTATCTCTAGGTTGAACAAGAGGTGGACAGCTAATCAGCTTTTCTGCTCTTTTAGCATCTCTTTTCTTAGTCTTCAAGATTTGTGATGGTTACTTTTCAAAGTTTGTGCATTTGTTTTCCTTCCACTTAGCCCAGTTACTCTCTCTTTAAATAATACTATCTACGCATTGCGCCATAGATCTGCGCTTGCCTAGTATTCTGGAACCCTTAATTTACTTATTATTATGATTCTAATCAATAGAATCTTATAAGAGCTAGGATACTCTTTGCTCAATATTTTGTACTAGCTTTTTCTCATCTTCAGTAATGATAAAGAATTTCTTTTATTGAAGATTTATTGGATTCGCGATGGTTTGAGTAAATATCAATACTTAGGTAAGGAAATTTTCTCTAAATAAGTAATCTTAGAATTGCAAATTGAGGAGTGAGTGTTTGCTTAGATATTTTGGATACTTCAACAGGATCTGAGCATTATCCTTATCCACCTAGATTGGCTAACTCATGAATTTTGAAATAAAATCTCTGATAGTTGAGAGTACCTATGTAAGGTTTGATTCTGAACTAATCTAATTAATTTTGCTTGTTCCAGTGATTGCTGATTTACTTTCCAATTCTTTGTCAATGATTTCCTCCGCTTAGCCTTCTTCCTCATCACCATTTATACTATGAAACTTTAGATCAAATTTATCATACTTATGATATGAACTCTGTTCTATTAGTTCCATTGCTTCATTATTGTTATTAGATTCTATTACTTCCATATCACCTTAAGACTAATCTATATCTTCAAAGTCTAGTTGGTTGCTTGTAAATATCTATAGGCCATGTTAATTTTCTAGGCATTAAACGTACATTGAATGGATTGGTTAGGTATTTCTACAAGTTCCAAAAGTTCTTGTATAGGTTATAGTCTGATATTTGACCATGAACCGATATTCCTGATTTGTGTTCCAATCCTTGCTTTATCTCCTCTAAGGTTTCAAAATTTGTTGAGTTTTTTGTATTGAAGTTTCCTAGTTTATTCAACCCAGATGGATGAGTGAGCGGGAAGACTGATGCGATAAGCTTTTAGACTTTCCCTCTAAATCCAGTATCATGGGTAACACTGAGCTTTCTCATAATACTTTTACAGACTCTTGAGATAATATTTAGAATCGAAGCTGTAGTTTACTAATCCTTCTTCACATCTTCTGATTAAATATTAAGCAGATTTCCATTGAACATTTTCTCTTCCATCATAGAAAATAAAGGACCTAAGGTGTCCTCTGAAGTACTATCGAAAAGTTCTGCGAAGTAGTTGAAAATGTCAATTTTAGTAATTAGACTATTTTTTTCTAGATTCAATAGAAACTCAAAGAATCTCTCAAATCTCTAAATATCACTTGAGATACTATGACTTGAATGGTGACCATTAGCTATCTTAGCAGGTTAAGTAGTCCTTGAATTCACAAGGTTCATTAGTCTTTTATTCAAACTCCTAAGTAGATTAGCTCCATATTTATCATTCAATTCATCTTAACTATATGACTCTTGCATATTCTTCTTTAGCATTAGCAAGTCTTGTACCATTTGTTTATATTCTTCAGTAGTTTTTGCTTCAATCTTATCATTTTTTCCCTGAAATATTCGTCATTAATATTCTGAATTCTCCTTCAAGATGAGAATGATGCTGGATAAAAGTATGTCTCTCTCATATTATTAACAAGAGTCTTAAACTTATCACGTAATTTTAAGGATTTAATTTCATTTTTGGAAGGAGGAACTTAGGTTTTTCTTTTGTTAATATACTTACTTCTTGGAAAATCTCTGTAATCTCTTTTCTGATTTGACTCATATTTATTATTTATTGAAAATTAATTACATAATAATCTCTTATCTAAGTATATTAGTATATTAACTAGATGGGGTTTTGGGGTTTTGGGGAGATCGGAAGAGCGTCGTGTAGGG